GAAGAATGGTGGAAAGGAAGGCAAAGGGGATCCACTTCAGACTGGGCCCCAGGGGCCCCGGCTCCCATCCCCAGTCGCCCCACTCAGTGCCTGGGTGACTTCAGGCAAGTGACTTCACCTCTTGGTACACCCTTGCCCGGGGGGCAAGAAGAGTGCCGAATACCCACCCTGCCCAACATTAAGCTAGTGAGGCTCTCCTGAAACAAAAGCTTCCTTTTTGCTGTGTCTCTTTTTCTGCAGAAATTCCAAGTAAGGAGACGAAACTCCCCCACATGACCCTGAACTTCCAGAGCGTCTGGCCCAGAATCACACCCACCACCTGCCCAAAACTCACCTCACAGGCCCAGGCTCTGATGGATGCTGACGTACTGGGTCCCTCCTTCCTGCTCTCCTCCTGCCCATGCCCTCCCACCCCCACCCACAACCCCCACCCAACAGCTCCCCTGGGTCCCCTCCAATGTATCTGTTCAACTCACAACACAAACCAAGTGAAGGTGGGGCCGGTTTGTGTCCTGTTTGCATTCTGGCCTGTCCTGGTGCCTGTTCTTTCCTGTGACCTCCATAGGGATGCTTCAGCAGGTGCAGCTGGACTATCATCAGGGAACCTCCATGGGCTGGGCAGCGTGAGGGGCAAGAAAGGTGGAGAAGCGGCGAGTGCTGCAGCTTGCCAGCCTTGCCGTCCTTGCCTTCCTGGGCCCCACCTGCACTGGGGCCAGCTCCCCTTGTTGTTGGGGTCGATATTTCACCAAGAACTTCTGATCTTTCCTTTAGGAATTCCCACTTGCTGGGGGGAGAGATTGTGCTGGGAGGCAGTGACCCCCAGTATTACCAAGGGAATTTCCACTACGTGAGCATCAGCAAGACTGGCTCCTGGCAGATCAAAATGAAAGGGTCAGATCTCCCTAACCCTTCCCACTTTCCAAAAATGCTGCTGCTGTTAAGGGTGGGAGGGGGAACAGGCAAGGTTGCCATCCTGCCCTCTCTCCAATGCAGCGACTTCTTAAGGCGCAGCCCACATTTGTTCTCTGCCTGCTCTGTCCCGGGGTGGGGAACACTGACAGGGGAGGGGCGGAAGGGAGGGGCCTACTGAGAGAAGGTGTAGGGTCACCAAGCACACGCTGAGGGAGGGGCCAGTGCCTTTCCTCCTCCAGGTCCTGCCTTATCCATCCTTCGCTGCATCACTGGTCCACCCGCATGGCTCTCCATCTGCTGCCCTCACTCAGAAAAGCTGTGCAGCCTGGTGGTGCCTCATCAGCCTTCTGTCTGTCTGTCTGTCTGTCTGTCTGACTATGGCCTCTCCTAGGGTGTCTGTGAGGTCAGCCACCTTGCTCTGTGAGGACGGATGCATGGCAGTGGTGGATACCGGCGCCTCCTACATCTCAGGTCCCACCAGCTCCCTGAGGCTGCTCATGGAGACCCTGGGGGCCAAGGAGCTGAGTACAGATGAAGTAAGAACCTAGAAAGGCAGTGCTGGGGAAGAAGAGCGCTAATGTGTCCAGAACCCTAAATCTCCCCAGGCAGCATTAGGTCCCAAATGAGGCCATTCCAGGCCTCTCTTCCTCACCTCTCACACTCTTCAAATGTGGCTGGTTTCACCCTGGGTGGGGGCAAGCCACAAGCTGGAAGGTTTCCCACACTCAAAGGGCCTCCCTTAACTTTCCCCGCAGTACGTCGTGAACTGTAACCAGGTGACCACACTCCCTGACATCTCCTTCCACCTCGGAGGCAGAGCCTACACACTCACCAGTGCAGACTACGTGTTACAGGTGAGGTTCCAGTCTGCATCCTACAACAGGCAGGAAGGGTGGGCAGGAACCTTCAAAAAGGGACAAGTCATATGACAGATTACCTACTAGGCCAGCAATTCTCAAACTTGGCTCTCAGAGTTGCCCGGGAGCATTGAAAAATCCCAATAGCAAGCCACATCCCCTCCCTATTAAATCAGAACCTCTGGGGGTGGCACCTGGGCATCAGTGTTGTTAAAGCTTCCCAGGTGATTCCAATGTGCAGCCCAGTTTAGGAATCATTGTGCTTGGCTCCTTATGTCCGTTTCTCATCAAATGCTCCTAGTGATGCTACGATCCTGTACTGTAATCCCCCTTTTACACTCAATAGACTTAGGGATGTTAAATAACTTGCCTAGGATCAGAAGCTCTGCCAGACACTAAGCTCGTAATGCTGTGCCTGCTGCACTGTGTGTCCAGTGTCTAGCACAGTGCCTACATCCAGGAGGGGTGCTTCCATCGTGAGTTGAAAGAGCCAGAATGTAATGGACGTGCAGTGTGGAGAGGGTGGGGGGAGAGGGATATTGTTAAAGAGGCTCCCTAGGGTCAGGCAAAGTGAGGGCAGAATAGTCATGTGATGAGCAGTGGGGAAACCATGTTGCTTCCCTCCAGGACCCCTACAGTAATGATGACCTGTGCACACTGGCCCTCCACGGTCTGGACGTGCCACCTCCCACTGGGCCTGTCTGGGTCCTGGGCGCCAGCTTCATCCGCAAGTTCTACACAGAGTTTGATCGGCGTAACAATCGCATTGGCTTTGCTTTGGCCCACTGAGGCCCTCTGCTGCCCCAGCAAGGGCGGCAGCCCTAGCCCAGAGCTGAGACCGCCCCTGCCAGTGCTTGTGTCCTTGTGTTGGAGTACAGGGCATGGAGCTCCTCGTGGATCATTGACCTGCCCCAGCACCAGCTCTTCCCTGCTTTGAGGACAAACAGAATAAAGATTTCATGTTCATAGCCCTATTGCACCTGGGTCCACTAGGGTTTGAAACAGAGGGAGGGGCAACCACGTGATCACGTGCAGACAGGAATGTGGTGCAGAAAGACAAACATATTCACCTGATGCCTGAAGGCTCAAACAGACTTGTTTACACAAACTTGGGTGGGAAGTTTGCAGACAGCTGGCCCCTTGCCCCCTCCAGCCCCCAAAGGACCAAGGCTAATGCTGTGACATTACGCCGTGGGTCAGAGAGATGCTCACTCCCAGCTCATGGAAGCCAGCTCCAGGCTCAGGCTCTGCACTGCTGTGCTAGCCTGAAGCGGCAAGTGCTGTAGCTGCCAGCCCTGCCTCTCCAATAAGGCAGACACCAAACAACCACCCCCAACACCCCAACAGAGCCATTTACAGTGCAGTCCAAGGCACCATCACCTAAAAATGTGGCACACCAGAGATCTGATTGATACTCCCTTTTTACATGTAGGGAAACTGAGGCTCAGAAAATGGAAGGGATTTGGCTGAGATCGCTCAGTGGAGTGTGAAAAATCAAGGCTGAGACCCAGCCCATCAGACTCAGGCCCTAGGGCAGGGGGCGTCAAACTCATTTTCACCAGGGGCCACATCAGCCTTGCGGTTGCCTTCAAAGGGCCAAATGTAATGTTAGGACTGTGTAAATGTAACTACTCCTTAACTGGGGACAAGGAGCTCGCTGCTACCACCAATACAAACATGGTTCGGGCCACATAAAACAAGGTGGAGGGCCGCATTTGGCCCATAGGCCTTGTGTTTGCCACCTGTGCCCTATAGGCTTTCTACCTTCCCACATGCAGATGACTTTGACCTGGAAAGCCCCCGACACCCTGGCATGGGGCCATGTTCCTAGGCACACAGACTCACTGCTCACTGCATCTCATGGACTTGAGACAGGCTGAAGTCTTCTCCCAACTCCTACCCCTTGGGCTGTCTGCAGGGTTATCTAGCTCTGCAAACAAAGGCAGCCCACACTTGAATCCACTGATTCTGTCCCTCTTCGTGGTAGCTGCTCACCCATCTTTTGACCAAAAAGAGTGAGGCACTGAGTAGCCCAACCAGCACTCAGCAAACCTCACACCTGTAGAATGGCAGCCTCTGGAGACTGAGTGGAATCCCAGGGCTCCTCCACGGCAGCATTCCTGCATGGGCAGCGTCGTTCCACAGAGCCAAGAGCCGGATTCTTTGACTTTGTTTGCCTGCCTGGCTTTACTTTCTTACTGCAGAAAGAAGGGTGGGAGTCAGTGTCCTTTCTAACTCCACATCCTGGGGCTCCCTGACCTTAAGTATGCAGCTCTCCCCCATCATCTCCTACACTGTCCAATATGATAACCACACAGGGCTATTTACATTAAAATTCAATTATCATCCTAGTCACATTTCAAGTGCTGGATACACACATGTGGCTAGTGGCCACTGAACTGGACAACACGATATATAACATTTCCATAACCACAAAAATTCCTCTGGGCCGAGCTCAAAGATGGATTCTGACAGCAATAATGATTGGGTCTTGTGACTGAGGGATTCCTCAACAGGACAAAGGGACAACTTGGGAAAATAGTAAGGACTTTTCTGGGTGGGGCAGTGAAAGCTCTCCCAGGCTAGTAACTAATGAGATACTCATTAGTACACCCTCCTCTAACATGCATCACCCAATGTTCCTTTTCCATAGCGAGTGTGTGTGTGTGGCGGGGGGGGGGGGGGCGGTATTTCCCTGGGGGCCTCCGTACAAGGAACCGCCACTGAGATGTGGTAGGGGCCTCAGAGCCTTTTCCAGGAGCTCAGGGACTGGACGCAGAGAGGTGGGCACATGTGGGCTACCCAAGCGGACCTCTTCTTGGTTGCAGCCTGATCCCCCTACAGCAGAATGGAGTGGGGGCGCAGGAAGAGCCCTCCCCCGGCCCTGCCCCAGAGAGAAAGGCTCTAGCCAAGGGGAGGGAGGAAGCCAGGTATGAGGGTGAGAGGAAGGTGGTGCCCTCACGTGGGGGCTATCGGGGGGCCTGGGCCTCCCTCGCGCCCCGCCCCCTAGTCACGGCCCAGGCCCCCGCCCCACCCCGCCCCGCCCCCACCCTCGCGTCACAGCCCCGGCCCCGGCCCCGCCCCCGCGCCGCGGCCCTCTTGGGGGCGTCAACCCGTCTCGAGCCCCAGGTAGCGGCGGCCGCACGGCTTCCCGCCCGCCTGGGCCGTGCGGGGGCGGAAAGGGGGCGTTCCCACGGCCCAAACCCGGCGGCCCGTGCCCGTGATGTCACAATCGCAGCCAGCCCCGGCGTTCCCGGGTCGGCTTGGGGCTGCAGGCTGCAAGACGGCGAACGCGGTGGGCAGAGGCTCCGGAGTCATGGCCTGACCCCGCCCCTCCCCCACCACGCCGCCCCCTACCCCGAGCCGGGGCCCCCCCCACCGGGGCTAGCGTAAGCGCGGCGGCTCCGAGGGGGCGGCCGCTGGGAATGGCTGCGCCCCCTTCGGCTCCCTTGTCGCGCTCGCCCTGTTACCTGAGGAGGCCCGCGCCCGGCCCGCAGTGCTCATGGGGCATGGAGGAGAGAGCGGCGGCAGGCACGCGCTGCCGGGAGTCGCCGGGCCCCCTGCGGGCCGCCGCCGTCCCGTACTTTGGAATCTCTGTGCACCAGGACGATATTCTGCCTGGAGCCCTGCGCCTCATTCAGGAGCTGCGACCGCATTGGAAGCCCGAGCAAGTTCGGACCAAGGTACCCAAGCGGGAATGCGGAACGTCGAACCGCGCATCCTTACGGGCATGGGTCCCAGGGGGCGCGGCTGCTACGCAGGAGGGTTGAGATGGTGGTTTGTACGTGGTTTCCTTTCCCATTCATCTCCCGCACCCTACACACGCACCGCTCCACACGGGCTCACGGGCAGGCACCCCCGAGGTCCACCTGCCCGCCGTCCGCGTGCTGCTCGTGTGGGCCCCACCCCCTGTCGCGTCGCGCAGCTGACCCTGGCTGCCCACCGGCTGCCCATGGGCGCGTACCCAGCCAGCTCTGAAACCTGCGACAGCAGGAACTTTTCAGGAAGAGCCCCACGCCCCATGCCCCACGCTAGTCACACACAGGGTTTTGCCCTTTCTGCACCCTGTGGTGGTAGCAAAACCTGCAGGCTCTGAGCGGCCCCTGCCTGTCCCGGAATTCGGGCCAGCCCCAGCGCTGTGTGGGAGTCCTCCCCGTCGCCCGGGCTCTGGCTCTGCACCATCACCCCCCGCCCCCACAGGGCGCCTCCCCACCCCCACATGGGCACATTAGCCTGCACACACAGATGGGCAGAGCCTCAGGCTGTCTCCCTAGCTGACCTGCACCCTCAGTAAAGAGTCTTCACCTGCCCACCCTCCCATCCCTTTTGGAAGCTGCTGGTGGAGGAACAGCCCGAGGCAGAGAGCACCTGCAGCTTGCACTGGAGTGGTAGGGCCTCCGTGCTGATGATGAACCTTCTGGGAGGTTCAGGACCAAGTGTGGGGAGAGGGATGGGTGGGTAGCATTTTCAAAATAAAAGGCATATGTTGGAGTAAAAGTGTCAAGGGATCAAGAAGGCCTGAGGTTAATTCCAATACTGGCTTACCATGCCCTATGTCAGTTTCTCCCTCTTAGGGCTTCAGTTTCCCCACGTAGAATTAGTTCAGATGTCCTCTAAGGCCCCTTTTAGCTCTGACATACTGTGCCTTATAAATTTCACGGTTCATTCCTCTGTCACCCCCTGGGGAACCCTCGTCTCCCAGCCGGGGTCTGTTATCTCTTCTGGTATGGAACTCAGAGGCCCTAAGGAGCTCTGACCACCAGAGACCTGGGGTGGGTGCAACCCTCAATACCCTGCATGGGTGGGAGGGACAGCAAAGAACCCTCTGCCTACAGGTGGTGAGAGGCAGTTGGGTGGGGATGTACTCATCCTGGGTGATCCTAGTCCTCCTCTGCCACATTCTGGTCCATGGAGGTTTCTTACAGAGCCGGGGTGGAGGCGGAGGGAGAGGAAGACGGCCACTAACCAAGTGACAGTCAGACTCCTCCGCCACCAATCCCCATCCACTGGAGGCACACTCAGGAGAAGTGAGGGTGCCTGGGCTGAACCCAAGCTGCCACTGTCTTTGAACTCTCTAGTCTATCCTGAGTGTTGGGGACGGTGTTGAGCTCTTTATTAAGCAAGAGGGTAAAGGACAAGATTCTGTGTAGTTGTGTTCCAAGACCTGTGCTGAAGCTGGGCAGCCATGGGATGAGAGCAGAGGCCCTACCTCACGCACCCTTGCGTTGCCCTCTCCCCATGCTAGCGCTTCACTGATGGCATCACCAACAAGCTGGTGGCTTGCTATGTGGAGGAGGACATGCGGGACTGTGTGCTGGTTCGGGTGTATGGAGAGCGGACGGAGTTGCTGGTGGACCGGGAGAACGAGGTCAGAAACTTCCAGCTACTGCGAGCACACGGCTGTGCCCCCAAACTCTACTGTACCTTCCAGAATGGGCTGTGCTATGAGTACATGCCGGGCGTGGCCCTGGGGCCTGAGCACATCCGTGAGCCCCGGCTTTTCAGGTGAGGAGGGTGCCCAGGGGTACTGCTCATCTCTATGATTTCTCAGGCCTTGGGCTTTGAAATCCTTGGCTGCCTTCCATGGTGTAGAGTGGAGTCCATGAGTGAGTCAATAGATCTGTGAACTCCCTGAAATCGCATGAAAAATGTGTGTGTGTTTATGTGCATTGCTATGTGAAGAGCTACCATGGCTTTTTATGGATTTCCAATGGGGATCTGCTAAAAGAGGCAAAGAGTTCTTTGAGGGAGGCAAAGGAGAACTTTGGTTAACAGAGACCAAAGGATCTAGCTCCCTAAATGCAGTAGGGATCCCTTTCCTGGTCCATGCCTCAGCCCTCTGCTTACCCTAGTCTGACTTGGAAACACCTCTGAGCCTTGGAAACGAAATATGAGCCAAATCCCCAGAGCAGGCAGGGCTTCCTGCTCCTCCCCTTCTGCCAAGAGCCCAGACATGCTAGGAGAATGGCCCTATAGGGTCAAGCATGGTTTTAGCAGCCCAAAGAGGTGGCATCCCTCCCCCAGTGTGAACTCCTTCCAGGTTCCCTGATAAGGTGGGAGTCCAGGTTTGAGGAGCTGCTGAGGCTGCCATAGGCTCACAGAACCCATGGTCCCCAGGGAGCCACTCCTGTTAATTGCCTAGATTAATGTGTGGGACCTTCAAGCCTTTTGGATACTATGGCTGTGGGGCCTGGAAGGAGGAGGACGGAAGAAGAGCCCACGGTGCACTCTTTCCTCTGATCATGCTGAGCAGGGAGGTCAGGTGGGATCCACCTTTATCCTTCCAGTGCTGTGGCCACGTGCAGGGTCCTCAGACTAGAACGAGTCCTCATGGCTGACATTTACCCCTGACACTGGGGACAGTGGCACAGGGGTCTGCCCAGGACCTTTGGGCTCTGTCCTGCCCCAACCACAGGGAAGGAGCCATCGAAACTCCGAGGGGCCACAACAAAACCCACCTGAGAGTAGACCAACAGTCTTCGTTCCCTCACCTGCCGCAGTTAACCCCAAGTTAGTGCACCTCGCCCTGTTTGCAGGGAGCCTGTGTCAGGTGCTCTGGGGACTTAGGAGGAGGGGATCTGAGAGCCTCACCCCCCAGTGCTCCTGCCCACTGCTCCTAGGGCTGGTGAGGCCCCAAACATTCCACTGAGTTGTATATTGTAGCTGTGTGTTTGTGTCTGGGGGTGGGGGATATACAAATTCATGCAAGGGGCTTCTCAGCCTGGAGAGGTGAGGCCAGAGGAGCCGGGGCTGAGGAGCCCTGGCCAGGCTTTCCTACCAACTCCTCCCAGCTGTTGCGCAAATAAGCTCAAATATTGGTGAATCCTCACTACTCCCAGTCTCTACCACCCCTGTGGATCTGGTCCTGTTACTCACCCTCTCATGAAAACAGTTGCCATTGTCAGAAAGCTGGAAGATGGATTTAGGTTCAATAATAAAAACTTTACATTTGGGGAAAAGCCAGAAATTGGGCAAAGTGTAGGAGGTAGCCCTTCCTTGATACTTTTCCTAGGAGGGACTATTATCTTTCTGGGGTAAAGGTGGTTCTCTGAGGAAAGGTGGTCGTGGACTTTGGAAGCTACTTCCCCATGTTGCCCTGAACCCCACCTCCCAACCTTTGCTGTTCAGGCTTTGCGGCATAAAAATGCTGAGTGTTGAGGTTAACTTTCATTGCTATTCCAGACAACGACCTTATTGATATTCAAGGAAACACTCTGTGCTCTATTCAGAATCTTCCTTCGGGAAGGGAAGGCCTGGGTCTCAGGTCGGTCTCCCACCTTGCCCAGACCCTGGTGGGCTCCCTCCTACTCCAGAGCCTCTGGCCTCTGAACGAACAGACTTCATCTCCCAGCCACTCGGTTGCTGCCACACCCCTTGCCCCCTACATGGGTCTGGGGGAGGAGCCCCCAGAGTGCCCTGTTATCCGGTTGGGTGATAGCTTGCCTCTTCCCAGTACCTGGCAAGGGAGGGGGTGTCCCTGGAACAGCTTGGCAACAAGGTTTCAAACAGCCAATGCCTTTATTGTCTTTCTCAGTGATTATTATTCGAACAGGCAGAGGTGAAGGAAGCTTGAATGTTGGAGGCTTGGCAGCCAGTGGGGCTCCAGAGGGAGAGCTGATAGAGGCCTGGGGGAGCCCAGCCGGGACCCAGGGCCTCAGAGGATGGGGTCCTTATCAAGGCCCTCCCTTTCTGACCAGTCAGTCCTCCATCCACCCCCACCCCCTCCCCTCCCAGCAGTCTTCCCCTGAGCTGGGTTCTCCTCTCCCCACTGTCTCTCCCACTCTCCTGGGACCTTGGATAATGTCCACAGGAGAACTTGAAAATAGAACACTGGTTTGTTTTGCGTCCTTGGCACCCAGCCGCCAGCATCATCAACTCCCTGCCCCAGAGGAAGGGGCTGCCCTGGGCCTGCCTTCCTCCCTCCCCACCTTGGCCAGGCCTTATCAAAGAGGCGGGCATTTCTTCCTGCCTGGCATTGCCACCCCCAATCCCCTGGTGCCCTGCATTCACCTCCCCCTGAGGGCATGGGTCAGAGTCCAGGGTGGGAGGAGAGGCGCCACCCCCATCCTCTGGTGACCCGACTGTCCTCAGGGATTGCTGTGGGTACATGACCTTGGCATGGGGCAGGGTCATTGGCCTGTGGGCAACAGCCCACTGCTCTGCCCTTCTGCAACCTGAAACAGCCCAGCTCTGGCTCTGGAAAGGGAGCTGCTAGGCTAAAGGCCATATCTCATCTTCATGCCTTCAGCTGAGGTGGAGAGCTCCTAAAAGATTTGTAATGATAATCCCACACTTTGACCCCTGGCCAGCCCCTCACGGACAGTGTGTGTAGGGCCGCTTTCTGGTCGGGAGGGGCTGAGCAGGCAGGGCCTGCCCCACCCCCACTGATACTCTGCTCTTCCTGTTTTGTGCTGCAGGCTAATCGCCTTGGAAATGGCAAAGATTCACACCATCCACACCAATGGCAGCCTGCCCAAGCCCATCCTCTGGCACAAGATGCACAATTATTTCACCCTCGTGAAGAACGAGATCAACCCCAGGTACAAAGATCTGGGAGGGCTCAAGGCTGCCACTGTCTCGACCACCTTAATGTGATCCTACTCCTCATTCTTTTGCTCCACCCCACCGCACAGGAGGCTCAGGGATTCCAGTCCTGATTGTGGAGCCTCTCTCTTCAAGAAGAGTTGGGCCAGTGGAGAAAATCTGAGGATCTTAGACCCATAGTTTTGGACTCACATGGGTATTTCTCCTTGAGTCTTCACGTTATGGCAGGGCCTAGGGTCAGGAACAGCATCTCCCCATTTTACTTAGAGGATACTGAAGCTCAGAGATTTAAGGCTTTCCCAGTGTGGGGGGCTAGTCAGAGGCGGGGCTTCTGTTCCCAGCCCAGGGCCCTGTCTACCTGAGTTGCCGTTGGAGCCGTGAGAAGGGAGGGTCCTGCTCTCTGAGAATGGGGTGAGGCTGAGTCACAGTCATTCAGAAGAGGTCAGCTCATCCACTGACAAGCCCTTGGGACATCAAGACTCCTGCTAACGGCCTGGATGCCGCTCATCCCCACATGCCCCTGGGGACCCTGCTTTCCACCGTGTTCAGGCTGACAGCTTGCTGTTTCCTCTCCCGACATCACCTTTCCCCAGATAAGACAGGCTCCCCAGAACCTCCCCTACACGCTCTGGCCTGCCACCCAAGAGCCCTTCTAGCCTTCAGAAACCTGACTCGCCAGCATACTCTCGAGTGCTGAGACAGCAGTAGGGGCAAGGGAGAAAGAGCAGTGTCACCTTGTCCCCTCCACAAAGGCTTGAACACCCATGTTCCTAGGAGTGGGTTACACAGGTTTAGGGCAGGATATCTCCTTACCTCCTCAGAGATGACAAGACAGTAAGGAGCTCTCTCCCACACCCGATGGCTCTGTCTGGGCCCTCCCACTTAAGGGTTACCAAGCGTTGCTTTGGAGCTATTGGACCAGCATGGCCCATGTGCAGACCTTCTGTGTCAGGTGTTCTCTCTGGGACAAGAACTGCCTTGTGCCTTAGGACCAGAACAGCACAGAGAGCAGAGTCCTCTGGTACCTGAACCAACAGGACCCTCCCTTCCCCCAGCCCACCACTTCCATTTGACAGATTAAGAAACTGAGATCCATCATAGGGATAGGACTTGCCCCAAGGTCATTGCTATCAGTGGCAGCTGAAGGACTAGAGTCTAGGTGTGATGCTCAGGTGTAACCCCTGCGACTACAGCTTTCTTCGATTCTACAGGCACTGTGTAGCCTTTGGGAGTGGGGGAGGTGGCCGTGTTGGGAGGGGAGTGGTCTCTGGAGAAGACTGACCAATTCCCTTTGTTTTTGTCATACCTTTGACCTTGGACGAATCAAATTGCTTGACTTTTGGGGGCCTCTTTAGGGGATGATGGCTGCCCTGAACTGCCTCCCCTACCCCAGAGCAAGCTGTGGAGAGCAGTCACTGGGACGATACGAAGCACCTGAGTTCCATAGTAACCCTGCCTAGTAACCCTGATGATGTCCATCCTCCATTTCACAAACACTAATTGGGATTTAAAACAGTAAAGAGCACAAAGGTGACGTTGGCCCTGCCCACAAGTTACTTAGAAACTGTATGAGGAAAGAGGACCTGCCCATGCAGAGCTGTAGAAGAAGGCAGGTGTGGAGCGCGTGCCAGGGGTCGGGGACCCAGGGAGCATCTTCCTGGCGGAGATGGGGAGGGAGGCACTGGGGCTGGGGGAGGCGGCGTGAGCAGGGCCCTCTCCTGATGACCCGTAGATGAGTTGGCTGGAGCAGCTCTTCAGGAGGGCTTGGGAGGGGTCTAGGGAGGTAGAGCTGCAGAGGTCTTGTGAACTGGAGCTCAGTTGTGAGGGGTCTTTGATGTCAGGTTAAGGAACGAAGGTTCAGTTTCACAGCAGTGGAAGGTAATTGTGAAGGCATCTGAGCCTCGGACTCAGGGCAGCGCAGTAACCTGACCGGCACTGTGGTGGAGTGAGGGGAAGTGGGGGTTGGAGGTGGGGAGACCAGCTGGAGGAGTGTTGAAATTGAATGGGCAACATCTAGCACTGGGGTTCCCCACATTTGAGCATGAGATTCCCCTGGGTGCTTGCTGAGTGCAGGATTCTGGTGTGACACTGGAAAGTGGAGGGAGGTCTCACGCTGGACCCCACGCATCTGCATTTCACAGACTCCCCTGGTGATTCTGAGGCAGGGGATCAAGGAACCATTTTGGGGGGATACTGCCCTAGGCAGCTTCACAGGGGCTGCCTCAGAGACCTTGTGGGAATGGATGTGGTAGCCTAGGCGTTTGGGTAAGTATGGTGGCGTCCAGGAGGATGTGGGGTTGATGACGGCTTCAGGGCCCTCGAGAGGAGACTCAGATAGGGCCAGGCCACAGAAGCCTGAACGCTTAGAAGAGTCCACCTTTCCCCGCTCTGACCCCCAGAGCTGAGCGGCACTTGCCAGGCAGCAGTCCCTGCCTCAGGCCCCTTCACCCGCTCCTACTGCTCCTACTGCCTCGGAGACACAGAGGAGCAGCTCCGCCTGCCGTGTGAAAGCTTCCGAGATGACTGCCCCACCCACCCACAGCCTTGGAAGAGTGTGGTGGTGTCAGGGCTGAGGGGAGCCCCGCTGGCCATGTTCCAGGCGCTGGGGGAGGGATGGGGAAGCTCAGGATTGTTCCCACAGTAACCATCTGCGTGGCCTTGGGGTGGGTAGTGTGGGGGTCAGACAGAGGTCAGGGCCTGGGCAGCGGGCGTCCTGGATGTCAAAGCCATGTGTTTTTTTTCCCCAGGCTGAGACCTGGGCAAACCAAACGAAGCCTCCTAATTCTTATCTTTGGATGGTCTCAGTCCAAGAAAAAAAAAGAATTTTAAAAGAAGAGGTTGCTTCTTAAGGAGAACCAAGAGGAAAATACATTTTATGCAGTCCTGTCGACACAGATAAACTCCAGTGAGGATGGCGTAGGGGCAGGAGGCGGCAGGCCTCCCCCAGATCGGCCCCTGACAGACGCCTGGACTCGGAGTGGCCTGTGCAAAGCCTTCAGGGGGGCACCCGGGCCCTCGTGGTTAGGAGGGCTGTCTTGATTTCAGATCCTTGGATGGGCCGAGGCCACTTTCCTTAGGAAATAGAGGGTCCAGCTGTGCAAGAGACATCTGGAGGCTACAAGGAAGACTCTGCCCTTCTTGAGCCTCAGTTTCCCCAGGGGGTTGGACTAGAGACCTAAGATCTCTTGGCTTTGACCTTCTGAAGCCTGTGAGGAAGCTTCCCACTCGTTCTTTTCCGGGGGGCACATGGGGACACTTTAATCACGGAATACTCAGCTGCATGTTCTGGTTTCTGGGCTGGGGAGAGGGCAGCGGGGCTGTCCTGTGGGAGTGTCGGGAGGACCTGTCTCATTCTCATCCCCCTGCGCGGACTCTCGCTGCCCTGGACAAGGGAGCGAACAGGAGACACAGGAGTGGAGATAAACCCCAGGCCGTCCCCTCCTCCCATCGGTGGTTCTGGGTTTTAAGGGCTCTGCTGCTTTTTGGCTTTTCAGTGTGCACAGACTGGCGCCTCCTGGGGACCACAGTTCAGAGCCTCTGCATGCAGTGTCTCTTCCTCAGCTTCCCTGTGGCCTCTGATGGAGCCATTTGTTCATCCAGCAGCACGAATTTCCTTCAGCAGCAGCGCCTCTGTGTGCTGTGGGATGGGGTGGGGCCGAGTGGCCTCCGTGCATCTTTGTTCCTGCCCTCCAGTGGGCTACAGCCAGTCTGGCGGGGGTCTGGGACAAGGAAACACACTCCTAGTTCAAGGTGGAAGGGACAACATACTAGGGAGCCACACAGCAAGTGCTTTTCCATTGAACGGCCCTAATGTCCCCTTGGCCTTGTAGGAGTGAGCCCAAAAAACAACTTCTTTGCTTCTGTATGTGGGCCCGAGTGGTCTGTCTGTGAGATACGAAGTTAAACTCTGTGATCTCTCTGTGACGCCAGCTGCGAGAGCATAAGGGAGACAGACCAGGACGTAGCCTCTGCCTCCTCAAGAGAGCGCCAGCGCTCCAGCCCCTCCCAGGGCTGCCCCGCTGCCCTTGTCCTCTTCGCCAGAGATAAGTGAGTTTGGACACTCATCCTCACCTTCTAGCCCTCTTCTGTGCCTCCCCCCTTACCTTCCTGTCCCCTTCACCACGTAGCAGGGGCACTGTTTAGTCAGGGATTTGGGTGCTTTTCAAAATCCTTTTAAGCCAGTGTTTTAATCATCTTAGAGTAAACACAGCACATTGGAAGGATGGGAGACCTTAGTGCCATTTTGCAGATGACGAAAGATTGGCCATTTGTCAAGGTCCCTCTGCAGTAAGAGGTAGTGAGGAGGCCAGAGCTCAGGGCTTTTGAGGCCAAGCACCTTCCTGTCTACTGTCAACCCTCCCTCCACTGGCCATCTCTCTCGCCACCGTGCAGCCTCTCCACAGATGTCCCTAAGATAGAGGTGTTGGAGCACGAGCTGGCCTGGCTGAAGGAGCACCTGTCCCAGTTGGACTCCCCCGTGGTGTTCTGTCACAATGACCTGCTCTGCAAGAACATCATCTACGACAGCACCAAAGGTAAGGCTTCTCTGGCCCTGGCTGCCCGGCAGGGTTCTGTTCCTGAGGCTGGTACTTGGACAAGCAAGAGGAGACCGTTCAGCTTAGGTCTCAAGTTAATCTGTAGGAGAGAAATGGAAAAGGAAACATTCCCACTTAGAAAAGTCCGTGTCAAGAAAGAACTCAGAGTCATGGTTTGTGGAGGTTTTCAACATTAGGGCATCCCAGCTACTCCCCCTGACGATGTTCTGGGCTTCCAAGTCCTTCTCTGCCGCTCTGAGCCTTCCTAGAGGGAAACCTGTGGCCCAGAGGAGACCTTCACGCAGGGAACCTTTTGCTTTATTTCTGGCCCTCAGCCATGCTGAGGGCAAACATCTTTAGATGAGGAGAGCCCAAGGATCTAGCTGTATGAGAGGGACAGCTGGAGCTGGGCAGATGGACAAAGGGACAGACAGATGGAAGAAGCTCAGATTATTGCTGAGGAGGTCGGGTAAGGCCAGGGGGCTGCGGGGGCCAGCCAGTGGCAGTGAGTCAAGTGCAGAGGCCTGTGGCAGTTTGACCAGGCTGTCCAGGTCTGCTGGAACCAATCCTCTTTGCTGCCTCTCCACCTCACAGGTCACGTACGGTTCATCGACTATGAATATGCTGGCTACAACTACCAAGCTTTTGACATTGGCAATCATTTCAATGAGTTTGCAGGTGAGTGGGCATTACTATTTGTCCTGTGCTCAAGATACGCTCCTTATGATGGATGGTCAGATCAAGGAGAGTATGAGAGGAGGTTCTGTACTTGGGGGATGGAGGCTAGGCAGCTCCTGTCCTCTGCAGTGGCCCAGCCTGAGGGGGGAAGACAGTCTGCCTTGAGAGAGCTTCCGGTCTCCTTGGGAAGGCAGAACCCACCTACACATAGCACACTCCTGCTGGCTAGTATGGCAGTTTGGTACAAATTAGGAGAACGTGCCCACTATAGGATCCCCGAGGATACTTAGTTTGGCATGTGAGTTAGAAAAAGACCCCTTCCTCTGGGTACATGCAGTGCACACCAGGTGGGCCAGCACAGGGCAACCTCAGCCTCCACTTACCCCCTGGTCCATACTTCTTTGTGCCCAGCACAGCCTGCACAATTATAAATAAGGGCCCAGCATGCAGGTAAGAAGCGGACTCCACAACTTTGTATTTAAAAAATTTTTTAAATTATATTTTATTGATCATGTTATCACAGTTGTCCTGATTTTTCCCCCTTTGGCCCCTACCACCCAATGCTCCCTGCTCCCTCAGGCAATCCCCACACCATTGTTCACGTCCATGGGCCACGTGTGTAGTTCTATAGGCTACTCCATTTCCTATACTGTACTTTACACCCCCACAGCTGTTCTCTAACTACCTGTTTGTGCTTCTCAACCCCCTCACTTCACCCATTTCTTCCGAGAGCTCCCATTTGGCAACTCTCAAAATGCCCTGTGTGTCCATGACTCAGTCTCTATTCTTGTTTGCTTATTTTGTTTTTTTAGGTTAAATTATTGATTTGTATTTTTTGCGATCTTATTCATAGTTTTGATCTTTTTCTTAAATAAGTCCCTTTAACATCTCATATAATAATGGTTTGGTGATGATGAACTACTTTAGTTTTTTCTTATCTGGGAAGTCTTTATCTGCCCTTCAATTATAAATGATACTCTTACTGGGTAGAGTGAGCGATCTTGGCTGTAGGTCCCTGCTTTTCATGACTTTGAATATTTCTTGCCAATTCCTTCTAGCCTGCAAAGTTTCTTTTGAGAAATCAGTTGACAGTCTTATAGGAACCCCTCTGTAGCTAACGAACTACTTTTCTCTTGCTGCTTTTAAGATTTTCTCTTATTTTTAACCTTTGGCATTTTAATTCTAATGTGTCTCAGAGTGGGCCTTTTGCATCCATCTTGTTTGGGACTCTTTGTGCTTCCTAGACTTGCATGTCTATTTCCTTCACCAAATTACGGAAGTTTTCTTTCATTATTTTTTCAAATAGATTTCCATTTTCTTGCTCTTTCTCTTCTCCTGGCACCCCTGTGATGCGAATGTTGAGCCTCTTGAAGTTGTCCCAAAGGCTGTTTATACTATCATTTTTTTTTATTCTTTTTTATTCTTTTTGTTCTGATTGGTTGGTTTTTGCTTCCTTATGTTTCATATCATTGATTTGATTCTCAGCTTCATCCATTCTACTGTTGTTTCCTTGTAAATTGTTATTTCAAATAGTGTATCCTTCATTTCTGACTGGGCCGTTTTTATGCTGCTGAGGTCCTCACTAAGTTCCTTAAGCATCCTTATAACCAGTGTCTTAAACTCTGCATCTATACATTACTTATTTCCATTTTGTTTAGCTCTTTTTCAGGAGTTTTGATCTGTTCTTTCATTTGGGCCATGTTTCTTTGTCTCCTCATTTTGGCAGCCTCCCTGTGTTTGTTTCTATGTAGTAGGTAAAGCTGCTTTGACTCTGTGGTCTAATGTAGCAGGTGTCCTGGAGAGTCCTATAGCACAGCCTCAACTATCACCCAGGCTGGGTGCTCGAGGTGCATCCTTCATGTGGGCTGAGTTCACCCTCTTCTTCTGGTTGAGCCTTGGTTGCTATTTGCAGATCAGTGAGAGGGATTTACCCAGGCCAGTTAGGGGCAAGGACTGGCTGTGACCACTGACCACCAACCTCCACCCTCTTGAGAATCAGCTGTGCAGGGGCAGGGTGGTGGTGCTCCGACATGGTCTGTAGCTGTCCACTGGATGCACTGGCCTTGGTGTTTCCCAGGTGGTACTGGCCAAGGTCAGCCCCCATCTGTGTATACCTGAGGGTATGGCTCCCTGGGGTGGCCACCAGCTACATTTAGGACTACATTTAGCTACATTGAGGGACAATGGGGCCTCCACTGGGCAGAGCAGCTGAACTGTGCGGGTGGCATAGAGATGAGGTTGGCACCAGCAGGGCACTGGGCCTGTGCATGCTCAGCAGCCAGACTCACTGACCTTTCCAGAAGGGATAATTCTTAAGTATTTTAAGTCTTCCTCACCCACCGTACAGAGTGAAGTCCAGCTGGAATTTCTCCAGAGGGGCAGATGGCATCCTGCTTTTAAGTTGAGAATGAAGGAGAACTGAGCATGGAAGAAGGACAAGGGAGGAGATTGGGAGCTAGGGAGAGGGACCTCCAGGGTTCTTGGAGCAAGGAGACCTGGTACTGGGAGCTGGGAGATGAGTTCCAACCCTGACCCCACCCCTAACTGGCTGTGTGACCTTGAGCCAGTTTCTTCTCTCTTGGCCTTAGTTTATACATCTGCCCAAGGAGATTCTTCCCAGCCATACCCCTGGGGCCCTAGGAGACTGAATGTGTTTCTCTACAAACATAAGGAAAGTTTGGTAAGGACAGAAAGAAAAGGAGAGAGAAAAAGAGACTGCGGAGGGTGGTCCACCTCTAGTTTTGTCTTAAATAAACTGCTCTTTTCTGCACCAGCTCTAAAGCCACTGCCTCTGCCACTTGTGCCCAGGATGGGGCTGGTGTGTGTTGGGCTGGCAGCTTGAGGACTCACTCAAAGAAGGGTGGGACTAGAGGGGCCCAGGCTGTCCAGACCAGGGTTTCCAAACCTGTCTGTATTTCCCAGTCATCGGGAAATTGGACTGGGGCAGCAGCGTTGGAATACATGTTACCAAGCTCTCCCGGTGATTTTTAAGTAGCCAGCTCAGCACTGGCCCAAGAAGCTGTGTTTGAGAGACACGCGGCCTCCTCATGTTGCCCGTGAAGAGATCTGGGCTGGTGAGAGGAAAGGGCTTGTCCCAGGTCAGTGTTGGACCTAAGACAACCAGGCCCCGATTCAGTGCTGTGCCCAAATGTCTCCTATGTGATGTAGTTTTATATAGGGCATAGGGGAGACAGGTACTTAGGGGGACCCCATCACTGCCAGGACTGTCCCTGACCCTCGACCAGTCTGCCTTTCTCGGTGTCTTCAGTTGGGGTGGGGCTCGACCTTTTACACATTGTTGGTCATGGAGACAAGCTGCATTCCTAGGCACAGCCCACAGGGCAGAGCAGGTAGAGGTTTTCGGTGAAGCAGGGGATACCTGAGCTGGAGGCGGCCCCTGGGCGGGCCATCTCTCAGCAACTTCTGTGCTGCTGCCTCCCCATCAGGTGTGAATGAAGTCGATTACTGCCGGTACCCAGCTCGGGAGACCCAGCTGCAGTGGCTGCGCTACTACCTGCAGGCACAAAAGGGGATGGCCGTGACCTCTAGGGAGGTGGAGAGGCTCTATGTGCAAGTCAACAAGTTTGCCCTGGTGAGTGCTGTGACTGGTAGGGGACAGGGGAAGGAAGAGCCAGGAGGTGGGGTGCAGCCCCACCCCCACCCCCAGCTCCTGCCCTCCCAGAGACTTGTGGTGGAGGAGGAAGCAGAGCCCAGGGTCAGGTGCAAGTTCCTGGGAAATCCTGCCATGTGCTCCTGAACCCCAGTCTAGAGATGAGATCTGGGAAGAACCACGTTGGGCATCCCCAGTTGGTTCCCCCCCATACTAAGTTGGGCACCCCCATACTAAGGCGCCCTATTTCCTGCTTCCCCCACCCCAGCAGGCCTAGGAAAGGGAGAACCTAGAAAAGTTCGAGGAAATCAAACTTTTTCCTTCCAGGAAAGATCTCAGCTACCTGTTGTAGCAGCAGTTCTCTCATTTGGACAAGTAGGTCTTTCTAATGTCTAACCTTAGCCTTTCATGCTACAGTTAACCACATCCCGTCTTTTCTCTCTCTCTCTCTTCTTTTTCTTGTTTTTAAGCCTTTGGAGGAGATAGAGAATGTCAGCTTAATCCTCCTTGTTAGCTTCCTCTGCTGACTCAGACTCCTTGTAAGCCTTTCCCACCAGGCTCTTCCTGCTCCGGTTGCTGTGCTGTCAGTTCTTTTCTTTTAAGATTTTATTTAATTATTTTTCGAGGGGGAGGGAGAAAGCGAGGGAGAGAAACATTGATGTACAAGAGATATATCCATCAGTTGCCTCTCTCATGCCCTTCAACTGGGGACCCAGCCCAAAACCCAGGCACGTGCCCTGACTGGGAGCCGCACTAGCGACCTTTCAGTTCAGGGGTCAGCACTCAGTCCACTGAGCCACATCAGCCAGGGCCGTCCTGTCAGTTCTTTAGTTTGAGTGCCACTTGTCCAAGGTACACCGGTTCATGCCAGGCCTCCACTGGTGTATGCCCAGGGGTTGCTCCCTAGTCTTATTAATGTCAGCCATGCATACGCAAGAGATCAGTCAGCTGCCCCGAATTTCACACGCCATCATGGAGCTGGGATTTTGGATTACCTGTTCTATTCTCCTCATTGGCACAAAGCTGATTCTCCTTCAGTTTCTTCTTCTTAACTGTTCCACCCAGTGCCTTTCTCTTGCTAAATTTTTTAGTAACCATCATTCATACTTGCTCCTTGATCTGTGCCTCCTTTAAGTCCTGAAAAGGCAGGAAGTGCAGGGAGGTACTGTAGAGTCCACCTCAGGGTAAGCAGGACTTGGAGTGGGGTGGGGGACACCAGCCAGGGGAAGTGCTGGAGTCACTGCTGCTTGTTCGGGGGCAGCGAGAAGCCTGGCTCTCAGGCTTCTGGAACCTGGGGTGACCTGGGTGTCTCTGGCCAGTGGGTCTGGGCTCTGACGTGGAGGCTCATCTCCCCTGGGTATGTTGGCCTTGAAGACTTGAGGAGATGCCCTGGTGTAAGAGAAGCCAGAGGTGAAATTCTTTCTGGCCTGGGGCACAAGCCGAAAGTCCTAGCAGCCCCAGCCTGCTGACCCCTCCCGGAGTGGGTAGAACCAACTCTGCTGGCTTTTTCCTAGAGGGAGTGGTGTCCCCAGATGCTGTCCAGTGACTTGAACTGAATTTCCCCAACCCGTGCTGGGGAGACCTAGTTCTGTGTTTCCCAGCCTGACTGTGTCCCTGTAGCTACATGGGGTCCGTGGCAGCCTTGGGAGGATCACCACGCTGACCCTCTTTGCTCTGTTTCCAGGCGTCTCACTTCTTCTGGGCACTCTGGGCCCTCATCCAGAACCAGTTCTCCACCATCAACTTCGATTTCCTCAGGTGAGCACACGGAACAGCTGGGAGCAGAGTGGGGCGGGGGGAGAAAAGGAACAGCTGAGGGTGTAGGGGCAAAGGACAGCCCAAATAGAGTGTCCAGAGTCCATTCCTCTGCTCACTCATCCCTTGCCCGCAGCCAGTGGGGTCACTGCTCCAGGGGAGGCTCAGAAAGCCAGGGCAGCGCTCTGAAGGAGCCTGACGTTCTTACGCCTGCCCTGCCTGCCCTGTGGCAGACTGTGTGTTCCCTGTCTTCTCCTGAGACTCCAGAGCCCTTATCCACAGGGTTCGGTGGTGAACGGGAGTGTCACAAATCAGTCTGGAAGATCACAGACCCGGCCCTCATCTCATAGCTGAGAAGTCAGCGTCCCAGAGAGTGGGAGAGACTTGCTGAGGTCACTCGGTGGTCTGGTGTTACTGAGAGGACTGTCAGACCCAACTCCTCCTTCCGGGGCCACACGGTACGGGCTGTGCTGACACTGTACTTGAGTACTGACTCCTTGGCGGGAAAGGGGGCCGCCCATCGTGTGAGGTACATTGCAAGGAGGGACCCAAAAGATGTATTTATTAAAAATTGTATATTTATTCTTACACGTTTAAACTTCAGTCACTCTCAAAGTCCTATATTGCAAATGCATTGCATCCATCTGATGCAGTGCACCTATCGGGAAGTGCAGAGACTTTCTTCCTGCTGCTCAAAACAGTGTTTGAATTCCTCGATTTTGATGCCTTTTAGTGCTTCTGCTGTTTTTGTTTCACCTCTTCCATGTCAGCAAAACTTTTCCCCTTGAGGACTTTTTTCATCCAGGGAAACAAACAAAAAAGTCGCTGGAGGCAAGATCGGGTGAATAGGGACGGTGGAGCATGGGAGTCGTGCCATTTCTGGTCAAAACCTGCTGAACACTCAGCGTGGTGTGGGCAGGTGCACTCATACATCGCCCATCGTGCAATGGGCACACGCACTGAGAGCCTTCAAAAACCATTCACTGAAGCCGGACATAGTCCTCACAACACCACCAGCTGGTGCGCCGATACAGATGGGTTCCCATGACACTCAACTCATGGGGGAAGCCTGTATTAAAAGGGGCCCGCCCTCCAGAAGATAATTCCAGTTTTGGGGGGACTCCCTGCCTCGTATGTCTTTAAAGATCAGGAATTATTTTGTTCTTCATTCTGGTCCAGTCTCCTCCCCATCCACTCTCAGCCAAAAAGGAATGATCACCTGGCTTCAAAGTGTTCTCAGCCATTAGAGAAATGCAGGTCAAAAGCACACCGAGTTACCACCTCACACCCATTAGGACGGCTACTATCTAATAAAGTAACGAGTGTTGGCAAGGATGTGGAAACAAACCCTTGTGCGTTGTTGGTGAAACAATGCTGTGCTTCTTCAAAAACATTAAAAAGAGAATTACTGTATGATCCAGCCATATCACTGCTGGGTGTATATCTAAAAGAATTGAGATCAGGGTCTCAAAGAAATACCTGTGCACCTGTGTTCACGGCAGCATTACTCACAACAGCCGAGAGGTGGAAGTGACCCAAGGGATGAATGGTAAACTCATGCGATAGAAGATCATTCATTCTTAAAAAGGAAGGAAATCACGTCATGCTACAGTGTGGATGAACCTCAGGACATTGTGTTAAGTGAAATAAGCCAGCTATAAAAAGACAAAATTGCAATTCCACTTACGTGAGGAAACTAAGTCAAATTTATGGAAACAGAAAGTAGAGTGTGGGGGAGCATGGGAGGGGGAGTGGGGAAATGAAAGAGACCTAGGTATCTGTTGCCCAGTAGTGTGAATGCACTCAGCAATACTGAACTGTGAACATTTAAAAATGACCTTGTCTGGGGAAGGGTGGTCTAGTTAGCTCTAAGAAGAATAATAAAATTATAGTTGAATTAAAAAAAAAAACTTGCCCTGGGCTGGTGTTGACTTGCACCAGACCTAGATGGGCCGAGCTGGTGAGAAGCTTTGCTCCTGCTGGGAGTCCCCCAGCACTGCTTTCTTCTCGCCCCAGCTCTCTTTCCCGTCTCCCGGCAGGTACGCAGTGATCCGATTCAACCAGTACTTCACGGTGAAGCCTCAAGTGTCTGCCTTGGAGATGCCAAAGTGACCAGCTGCCCCTCCCTCCCCCTGCCATCTCTGCCTGGAAGGCTGGTTCTCTGGGGCTTGGTTCTGCTCTGGGGTCCGTACCCTTGGACAAGGTGGGAGAGGGGACAGGTGGGTATCCTGGGAGAAGACTCCACCAGCCCCCACTGGGTGCTGCTGTGACCACGTTCTCTCGTTTGGAAGGACTGACGGACCTCGCTCCGAGGCCCCTTTGCCTGGCCTGACTTGGGGGGAAGTGCCTGCAGCCAGCTGGAGCTCCCACCACAACCACCCCGGGAAGCCCAGGGTTCCCAGCCCCAGGCCAGTCTGGGACCCCAGCTGCCTGGAGGTGTCTTTGACCTTCCTGGCTTGGGGAGGGGGAAAGGTGGGAGGGCTCCTTTCTACCTCCAGTGCCCTGAGCCTCCAGCCCGTCTCCCCACAGGCCCCACAGGGGAGGTGTTGAGCCCAAACCGGCACCATGCCAACTCTGACGGATGTAAACACCTTGGGGTGGGGGGCTTGACAGTTCCCTAGCAGCTGCCTCATCTGAGGTCCTTGTTTCCAAGCCCGATCGGTCAAATAGCCCCTTCCCAAACCTCAGTCCAAGGACTGCGGCTTCGTGCTCTGCCTTGGGCAGAGGGGACAGCAGCCAGCAGCCTTGTTCCTCCCCTGGCCTTGCAGGCCCTCACTTCCAAGGATCTGTCTCCCCATGTCCACCCACCTGGGCTAGACTAGCGGGATTCCAGGGCTCGCCTGGCACTCGAGAGTTGCAAAGGTGCTGACTGAGGTCATCGTCCCTGACTCTCAATGGCCTCCACCTCCTCTCTGCCCTTACAGCCCCTGGGGCCCTCAGCTTGGGCCTATGAAGTGATTCATTTGTAAATTATCTTGATTTTCTGCATTAAAAGGACCATTTTGGGACCCAGACCACTCTGTCTCAGTGCAGCTGATGAGGCTCTGACCTGGAGGGTGTGACCAGCCCAACTGTGGTGGGGGCAGAGGGGTTCCAGCCCCATGGGCTGCGCACTTGCCCCCATGCACTCAATGCACCTGGCTGACTGGGCCCTGGCTCCTGGCATAGGGACGACCTGGGCAGGGCTTGTGGTTTCTGCCTTTATCCTGCACAAGTCAGCTGGCAAAACTGGAAGGATGCTGCTTGGTGGGAACTGAGCTGTGGACTCCAAGAACTTGGCCTTGCCAGGATGATGAGCCAGTGAGACCCTGAAGGGAAATACAGAGATTTCTTCCTTGGTCCTCTCTGGCTCCTAGTATTTGGGGGTTGGAGCGGGTGCTCCTTTGCCTGGAACCAGTCTGTCACTTTCTCAGAAGGCCAGAGGGAGGGGAGGGCAGGTGCTCCTAGGGGAGCAGGGGTACCCTGCCCCACAGTGCTGGTCGCTAGGGCTGCCCTACCATGACTGGGCAGCACTGCCCTAGGGCCCCCAGAAGGTGCCCAGCTGCCTGTTGGGTGGATTCTGCAAAAGTACCTAGCTGCCATGGCAATGGCTGGAACTGAGCTGGCACTTGCAGCTGCCTTCGAGGTCACGGTGACCCTGTGTGGCCGGACCTTAGTGGGCAGGACTGAACCTAGGGGCACCTGTGGAGAACATGGGGAAAGGTGTGTCTGGCACAGAGATGGTGCCCGGGCTGGGCAGGTCAGGCCCCCAAGGGCTCTCCTTGGGGTCAGGTGATCCTGGTGCAGCCTTCCTGTGGACTAAGTAGCAGTGCCCACGCTCCTTGTTCCTCTCAGGTCCACCTCTGGAGCCAAAGGCAGCTCATCTTCTGGGTCCTTGATGGCATAATGTCACAGTGGTAAACAGTAGAGTCATAGGGCACCCCCAGGTGTTGTCCTGGACCCAAGGCCCCTGGCCACCACCTGCATGAGGGAGTTAACCTGCACGCACCATCCTGCTACCTTCTTTGAAAAAGCATCCTCTTCCTCAGTTCTCCAGGGGAGAGGGCAACTGGGGGCAGGACCCTCCCCCACAAAGCCCTGGAGTCCCACCATCACTCCAGACCCTGGGCACCCAGGCCTTTTTTCTGACCTGATGAAGTGCTGCCGGCACAGCACTGCCTGGGCAAGGGGTCCTCTCTGCTGGGCTCTGGCCCTTGGCATCGCAGGAGAGGCACCGAGAGGGCATAGAGAGAGTTCATGATCCAGCCTTCCCGGCAATTACCAGTTCCTGGTCTTGCAATGCCCCCGCCCCCATCCTGCCTCCCCAGTGGGGCTCCAGGGCACCAACTGCAGGTTCCCATAAAAGGTTTTTGCCATCCTAAAAGCATGCAGGTTGCATGGCTCTGTCTCAGCACCTAGAATTAAGACAGGATAGTGAAAAGCTAGGAAAATTCCTTGGCGAGTAGAATAGGGAAACTGAGACAGCTGGACACCATGGCCAAGCAATTTATAGCCAGGTGCAGGTGGTCACCAGGGCAGAAGACCTGGCAGGGGGCAAAACTGGGACAAATGAGGACCTCACCCCCAGGGTAACCTTTCCTCCCTGGAGATAACATCTAGGCCTCAGTTGTATTTGGCTCCAGGCCCTGAAACAGCAAAACCAGGTGATCAAATCCAAAACCTACTGCAATACCTAAAGTCGCTAGCCTAGCACTGACCAATCCGGAGACCATGACCCTAAAAGGGCGCATCTGGAGAAGAGAGGAATACTCTGCTGAAACCCTCCCCTGAGATGTCCCCCAAGATTCCCACCTGCAAGAGAGAAAAGCCTGAAGACAAAAGACCCAGCAAGGGCTCCTTCTGGGAAGCAACCCAAGTCATTCCTTTCCCTTCCTCCACTTCTTTCTTCACAGGCACCTGTCCCCTAAAATCTTAGGGCAATGGGTGGCTGGTGCTTGGCCCAGGCTGGTCCCCTGACCCTCTCCCCAAGGCCCCCTTTTCTCTGACTTCCCAGGGAGCTAAGGCAGCCCTGCCCAGGCTCTCCTGTTGCTTTGCTAAGCCTTCCCTTGCTTCACTGCTCGCCTGGACTCGTGTGAAATCTCCCCTACACGAAGTCAGGAACCCACACAGTACACCTGGCCCTAGGCAGACCCGCTCAGGACTAGGCCCCTATCTGGTAACAGGATTCCTGGAGTGGGAAGTGGGCAGTGCTGGCCTCAGGCTCCCAAGGCCACAGAAGACCTGGGAACAGGGAAGTGAGAGGAACTCGGGACTGGCAGGGGATGAGGGTGAGCCTACCTGGGAGAGTCCTGACTGGGCTCCTGCATTTGGTTTGGAGCTCGGCTGTTAGTGGACACAAGGTGGGGGTAGGTGGACAGGAAATAAGCAACTCCTCCATGTGACCACCAGAGGGCAGGTGCTGCAGGCAGCCCTGCTGCTTTTCCCAAGGACTGCCTGCATCTTCTCAAGTGGCCAGGGAAGCTGGGCTCTGCTGTGGAGACATGGGGTAGGGAGGGCCAAGGAGAGAAGGCCCAAAGCTCTGGGAGGCTGGGCTGGGGAAAACCTGCAACGGTGAGCAGCCAAGATGGTCCCTAGTTCAAAGGGCTGGGACTCTAATTGTTGGGGAGTCTTCAGTTCCAAGTTCACTGCCCTGGAATCAACCACACCTAACTTCTCTCACCACTCCAGCTTCGTATCCTCTTTTCCAGTAACACCCCCTCCCCCATCTGGACTCTGCTGGAATACCTCCTGTGTTGGAAAGTTCACTACCACTTTGAACGTTTTTGTCAAAAGTTGTTTTTGTTAAGCCAAAAAATGACCCTTGAAAAGCATCAAGAAGCCAGTTCTACCTCCTAACCGGCAGACTGTGTTTGCCCTCCTCTGAAGAAAGCAGGGCGCCCTGCCTCAGCCTCCTCTTTTCAGGGCTAACCATCCCTGACCCTCTCGGCCACGCCTCTGACACATGGCCCCTCCAGTCCTCATCTGTGCGGGGTACCTGTCTTTGGGTCCCTTCAGTGTGACAACAGCCTTTTCTGTTTAGGGGCCAGGACTGTGTGGTGTACACTGGCTCATCACCTTTTTGTGAACACGTGCCTCTATTACTCCAACCCAGATCTTTCCCAAGAATTGGGAATTCAGCTTTGCTGCCAGTTCCATATTAACAGGATAAATTTTTTAACCACAGGAGTTAAGTCTTTTTACTGATCCCTGTTAGTATGTATCTTGAATTTAAATCTCTTACCTAGCCATTCCAAGTCTAATAGACTATTATTTCCCCTAGTGCAATATAAAGCTCTTTGAAATCCTCAAAGCATAAGGGCACAGCCCTGGCCAGGTGGCTCCATTGGTTGGAACATTGTCCCATGCACCAAAAGGCTGTGGGTTCGATTCCCAGTTGAGGCATGTATGGGAAGCAACTGATCGATGCTTTTCTCTCACGTCACTGTTTCTCTCTCAAATCAATAAACATAGCCTCGATTAAAAAAAAAGCTAAAGGTCACAGATACAGCCCTGAAACATACCAGAGGCCCTGCTCATTAATCAGTGTCTTAGGAGCTTATATGCAAGAGGAGTTTGGGGTGTCCATGTGAGCATTTTTCCGGGATGAGGGAGGGTCCATGGTTTTCATTAGATTTTCAAAGGGCTTCTCCAAAAGAAGGACCACGGATAAGGCTTAACCTCCTTGTTTTGGGACAAAGACAGTGAGGTCCGAGGGGAGTTCTGACGCCTCCACTCCCAACACACACATGCACAAAGCCATGTGGCTAGATCTGGGAAGAACCCAAACTTCCTGACTCATGACAGCACTTTCACCACTGCATTCTTTCTCAGGGCCTGTGCGGACAGCTTTCGAGGGCGGGCTCTGGCTCACCTCAAGGAAAGGGCAGTATCTCACTCATTCAGAGTGTGCGCTCTGGGCTCTGGGGCCAGGGGTGGGGAGAGGAGTGTGGGAGGTGGGTCAGAACCTCCCTTGCTTGCTTCAGATATTCCTCCTGGGTCACAGGCCTGAAGCTTCCTCGGGCTGCCAGCATGGGGCTGCCAGCAGTGATGCCTGGGCTGGTGGCACACACAGGACTGCTTGACTTGAGCCTGCCCCCACTTCCCCACGCAAGGGCCAAACTCTGAAATGGTTGGTTTTTATTATACCAACAGAAAACAAAAAACTTCCCAAGTGTAAACAGGAGAAATGTGCTGGTTAAGTTACTCATCATTATCTTATTATTAACAAAATAAAGCACTATGTTTACAGTCATAAAAAAAGAAACAGCCTGGAGAGAAGTTGGGCTTTGGGGAGATGGTGGGGCGTAGGCAGACTCCACATCCGTCCCTGTGGGACTTGGGGTTCCCTTCCCACTCTGACCCACCTGGATCTTTGGAGTCATGCCAACGGGGTTTCATTTTCCTAAGGAAGTAACTGGTGAAACTGGTCGGGAACAGAGGCATGTCCCCCAGTGTAGCTGGAGGGACAGGCAGGTGAGGGCAAAGCTGTGTGAGAGGTGGGTGGGCAGGGATGGAGAATGGGCCTTGTCCCCATTCTCAGTGGGCCCCCCCACTCCCACCCCGCCCCGACACCCTGCTCAGAGGAATGGAGACCAGCTGCCACGGGAGCCTGCTCTCCAGGGCTTCCGGCGCCAGCAGGAAGGGGGCACTGCCAGTGCTCCTGCTCCCACTCCTGGCCCCCAGATCGGGACCGGGGTCTGGGGCACCAGGCGGAGCTCCGGGGAGGCTGAGCACATTCCCATGCTGCTCAGAGCTAAAAATGGCTCTGTGGGAACCCACCAGCAAGAGTCAGGGAGGGGGTGAAGAGGTGGGCAGGGGAGGTCAGGGTGGCCCGGGGGCCTTCAGAGACCCAGAGTGGCCAGCGGGCACAGTCAGAGGCCAAGGAAGGGAAAGACACAAACACGGCCCTGCAGAGAGAGAAGGACACACAGAACCTGAGACACCCAGACTGACAAAGAGGTAGCAATATGGGGACAGAGAACACAGATGAGGCCCCCAGAGAAGCAAGAGTGGCATCAAGAGACACACCCACAGG